TTCAGTAGAACGTCTCTATTCCATTCTGTTCTCTGTAATCTTTTCAACCTGGCTCCACAACAGCCCACAAGCTTTCATTTCTTCCGCGCATGATCTCTTCCATGTCACCCTCACCTCGGATGCCCAACTAGTCGCTTCCCATTCGGCTTCCATTCGAAGACCTAACCTGATGCATGATGTTCACTATCGGTTTTCTCAGCGCCTGTCCAATCTAATCCATCTCCAATCTCTTCTTCTGCATGTTTGTCAGGCGATAGGTTCTTGCTTGATTCGTTCCCAGCCAGCCACAGTTCCTTGTTCCTTGTTGTTTATTCTTATTATTCTGGCCATCTGACCTCCATCTTCAGTATCGACTGAGCGTAGATGATAGCTGTACACATGATGTGTGTCTGCAGTCTGTTGGAAATGCTTTCCGTGACGCCACAATTCTCTGAACCAACACATAGAAGCACTGACTCACTTGACTGACATTAGTGTTGAGAATCTGGATGTTGTTCACGCTTTATGCTGAGTGTAGTGTAGTGCGGTGCGGTAGATGTCCATACTGACTATTTCGGATTAATGAAAGCCTACCTGACTGTCTTTCTGTTCCTGGCTTTGATATCCTCATCTGTGCTGCTCCCTGTAGTTGGAATGATGCTGCCTAGGTAGATAGGTAGGTAGGTAGGTGAAAGAGACAACTTCCTTTAGATTTCTCCCGTTGATGGTGATTGGAGCTTGTTGTTGTTGATGGTGGCGTTAGTTGGGTATCTTCATCACCTCTGTCGTCTCTACATTCACCTGAAAGAAGTCCCGTCTCCCTTGGCTGCCCTGCCTGTTCTGCCAACTTGTTGGTTTTTGCCTGTAGATCTTCGATTTTTGTGACAAGACAGTGGAGATAAATAATCATGGGCGAAATCGAAACCATCATCTACGGTCTTTTCATCGATCAAGCAGCGTATGCCTATCTTCTCGCTCCTCACAGTTTGTTGCATTATCCAGTCCAATTCAATCGACCACAATCAGGAAGATGATCAGTGGTAGTATGCAGCAGGCTTGTCTTTCTCCTGTCCTTACTTTAAATGCATCACTGAGCTTTCCATTGTGAGTCAGTAGGCATGTAGCATCATATAGTACATAGCTGTTGGATGAAGTTGATAAAGGGATGTGGCATTAAAACCGTAGTGTTGAGGCAGCTGCCAGTTATGCTCAATACAAGTGGCTAATTGATGAACACTTGTTTGTATTAACTGCATTTATGGAAGCAAATATGCTTACACCTGTGTCATCATACCTAACTTTCTTAAACTAACTTCAAGACACTTAGTGCTTCATGCGAACATCTTATTTCAATAGCAGTATTGTCAACTTGGCTTAAAACATTTTGACAGTCAAATAATCAACTAGTTTCCTTCGAATTATGAAAAGACGACTAAATTGTTGTCCAATTCAAACGGATATCTGGTCATATCATATAGCTAACAGAAACATCCTCATTTCTGTCATAACATAAGAGCAAAATGTCTGTTAAGCATCCGAGATAAGGAAGAGATTTAACTCTCTTCGGTCACTTGACAGAACAATAAATCTATAATTCGCGTTTTGAGAAGATATAAGCTAATTACCTAACCGAAATACTTCCATATATGAGCTGAAATGGAATAAGTTTCACTACCCACATAGTCAACTATTAATTGACATGTTACTCAGCTCTCTAATTAATTCAGGGGAAATCTATCCAAAATCTAGTTTATTTAACTTATCAAGTATATGAATAAACCATTTAACAGTTTACTTTTCATTGAAATATTTTCTTTACAAATTGCTCAAAATATCGAATTTCACACAAATATGAGATAACCAAATTTAATATGAAATACACTTTTTTTTAAAAACGAGTGAATAGTGAAAACTGAATCCAATCATTGATAAAAAAACAGTACAAAGTATTTATTCATTAAATGTGCTCTATTCTATCAGTTATTTGAGCTATTGTCAAGCAGACTAACCTGAAAAGTGAGTATACAACTGTATAATTCTCCGACACCTGAGTGAAGCTCCGGGAACAACAAGCCTGAGAAAACGAGACAGGATTTAGACCGGGTCGCAGGTGTATCGACTAAATATTCACACTGCGCCAGGTCCTAGAACACAGACACGCTTACCAACGCCCTACAATAGTTGCATTTCTCGACTTGAAGGCGGCATTTGACCCCGTTGACCGAAAAGTCTTATGGCAATGTCTCTCACTGAAAGGCATGCTGAGGGCTCTCTACTCAAACACTTGTGAGCGTGTTAGAGCCTATGGTGAGATGCCCAGAAAGCTATGCTCATCGAGTGTTGTCCATCAAGGGTGCCCACTGTCTCCATTCTTATTCAATTTTATCTTAGATATTCTTATGGAGGTCTCTCTGTCGTCATCAGGTTACGCAGACGTTGACCTAATCACATATGAATTTTCGTTAGACTTAGAATATGCAGATGACATAGTCGTGTTAGCTGAAGACCCTGACAAGATGCAGAATCTTCTGAACACTTTGAGTGTCAATTTGAAAGTGTTTGAGATACGTTTCTCACCACGCAAATGCAAATTGTTGCTCCAGGATTGGTCTTCACTGATGTCATGGCTAACAATAGAGAGTGAAGTGGTTGAGTGTGTCGACCACTTCTTTCACCTGGGAAGTAGGATCAACCCTGGTGCACCAGTCAGTAGCCGATGAAATCTTTGCACGGACAGAAAAGACTCGGTTGAATTTCGCCAACCGATGCCACCTGTGGCGCCACCGGTATATGCGATTGTCTATTAAGGGTCGCGTGTACTGCATAGCAGTTCGCTCTGTTCTGCTGTATGACTGTGAAACATGGCTATTCAAGGTGGAAGACATGAGAAGTCTGCCTGCAGAAGTTTGAACACCATTGCCTCCGTAGTATAGGCTAGGCCGTATTCCGTGGTGTCACCACGTGAGTAATGCAGAAGTTAGGTATAGAGCTTTAGGGAGTAGAGGTAAATCAGTCGATGAGGTTGTGAACCTTCATCAACTGAGATGGTTGGGACACGTATTACGTATGCCTAGTCATCGATTGCCTCATCACACAATGTTGGCAGAAGTAGGTCGAGGCTGGGAAAAGGCCCGAGGTGGCCAGACTTGAACATGGCACCAATGCATGAAGTCTCTGACTGTTGGTTTGAGTAATGTGCAGCGATGCAGACTAGGTGGTTGGGGTCGGTGGGGGGAGGGGACAAGAGGAACCAGTTGTTAGAGACTCTAGACAGCTAGAATAGAATAACGATGCAACATATTCCACATATGCCAAATAGTTTTAATGAATGTTAGAGTTTGTAAGGACTTATTAATTTCAAGCTGGTATTCATCATACACTCATATTAGCTGGAGCAATATCGGAAACCTGGAAGCACTGCACAGCTGTTTCGTCTCAGTATGGGGTTCCCCAAAATCCTACCCTCCAAGGATCAAACTTAAGACCTTCACGTTCCTTGGTCATTACGTTACAACTGAGAAACTGGGTAGGAATCCAATGGTCCGAAATTCTGGATTCGCTATGTGGATGACACTTTTGTCATCATTAAAAAAGATGATATAGAAAACATCCACAAGTTGATCAACAACGTTCTCAGTGACATCAAATTCACAGTGGAGAAGGAGTCAAACAACCAACTACCGTTCCTGAATGTTCTGGTCAATAGAACAAATACGGGGAAGCTGGATACCCAAGTGAACAGGAACCCAACACACACTCAACAAATCCTCAACTACAGCAACAATGTACAAAATTAGTTGCGTGCAGATCCTATTCAACAGAGCGAGAACACACTGCACTGCAGTACAACAACCTCACGGAGAAACAAACCAAATTACTTAATGTCCATTCTCAGGAAGAACACCTACCCACCAAACTTTATCACAAGATGCCTATCCCGCACATCATCAAGTACAAAGTCATCGACAGAAATCAACAAATGCATCATCCTACCATACATAAGAAATATATCAGAAATCACTATTATACAGAGCAAAGGATGCAACAAGCAGAGAGGATAAACCGAATATCATTTACGAAATCAACTGCAATAACTGTAGTCAACACTACATTGGACAAAGCGGCCACCCTCTTCCCCCTCATCATTCGCATAAACACCAATTGACTCCTAAACATCTCCACATGTCATCACTAATCTCAATACATGTGGATAACAACTGTGTACATGAATTGAATTTGGTCAATGTAGAAATTTTGTACGGAGAGAGGAAACACAGCGAATATCAGAGAATTCCCAGTAGCTTGACATTCAGGTCAGTCAGTCAGCAATCAACAGATGTATAGACGTAGACCCAATCTATCAAGCAATAAGAAAGATGATAAGTGACAGAAATGTCATAGGTCAAGCAGAGGAAGAGGCAACAGGAAAATCTATACAGTCAATGAATGATACAACAATCGAAGGAGACAACGAATCATAGATCAGTTGGCTAGAGCAAGCTAGTAAATCACTTACGGAGAGATATTGACACCTCACTTTATACTGAAGTTAGTGTTAAAAATGTTGTTTAGAGGAAAGCGGATGAAAGCTTCACGAATGAACAACCCATCTCAGAGAACACAATACAACTAAAACCATCCACTTTAGCTACAAATATAGTCCATTATTCCAATGGTCCATATCTCCTACTTCTGTCAGTTCACGATGTAACGTGACTTTCATCTAATGCCATCGGTGAGTGTTTGTCCTCAGGAGCATCACCGGTCACGACTTGTCGTTGGAACTTCAGGTATCCTCTTTCGAAGCCAGTCACCAGTAAGCACTAGATTAATTCAGTTTGGAAGTTTAGGGGGAACTTGTTTATTTTGTTCAGGTTGATGTTCATCATCAATTATTTTCGCCTATATATATATATATATCATATTCTAAGTTATCTGATGATGGAAATCTTAAAAACAGTTTCATAATTCAAGTCAATTTAATGCCTTTGTTGTATATTCCTACTCATATTTATAGATACATGGATGATTTAAACAATAAAAGAAGTACAATTCAATTATCAAAATTAAGACAAATTTTGATACACTATCGATTATTAATATGGAAAAATTTATTACTACGTAAACGACGTCCTGGTTTTCTAATAGCTGAAATTTTAGTCCCTTTGATTATTCCAATTATATTAGTTACTATACGAACTGAATCACTACCAATACATGAAAATATCTGTCATATACGTTCAACAAATCTTCCAACAATGGGATTATTCAGTTATATACAATCTCTTTTATGCAATTTCTTATTTCGTTGTCAGCCTATAGATCCTGATGAAATATCTCAACAATTTGATTATACGAGTTTAGGTGATTTATTGGAGAATATCTCAAATATATTTGAGAGTAATTTGATAAAAAATATGTAAGTATTAAGTAAGTTAGGCATTCTTAAAAAGCGTCAGTTTTGAAATTTTCTTGATAAATATTATTTTTTTATGATTATTTGTCCCTTAGGGGTTCCTAGTGGAACATATGACTTCACTAGGACGTTGCCATTTCACTTTTTTCTCTACCGGCTTTACAACCTGACTCCACGACTGCCCACAAGCTTTCATTTCTTTCTCACACCATCTCTTCTATATCACCCCAGCTCAGATACCCAACTCATCGTTTCCCATTAGGCTTGCACTCGAAGACCTGGCCTGGTGTTTGATGTCCCTTATCGGTCTTCTCAGTGTATGTCCAATCGAATCCATCTTCACATACTTCTTCTGCATATTTTGTTAGGCGATGGGTTCTTGGTTGGTTGGTTGGTTTATTGACAGCCAAAGTGAGTTCGTTTTTCCTTATTCTTTCTGGCCATCTGATCTTCAGTATTGAGTGAGCGTAAATGGCAGCTTTTGATAATGTGTGTCTGTAGTTTGTTGGAAATACTTTCCGTGACGCCACAATTCTCTGAACCATCACATAGAAGCACTGACTCACTTGACTCACATTAGTGTTGAAAATCGAAATTTTTTTCACGTTTTATGCTGAGTGCAGTGCAGTAGACCTATACGCTGATTTCAGATTAATGAAGGCCTATCTTGCTGTCTTTCCGATGCCGGCTGGCTTTGATATCCTCATCTGTGCCTGTGCCACCTGTAGTTCAAACGATGCTGCATAAGTAAATTTAGGTGAAAGAGACAACTTTCTTTAGATTTCTCCCATTGGTGATGATTGGTGATTGTTGTCTTCGTTGTTGGGCATTTTCATTACCTCTGTCTTCTCTACGTTTACCTGAAGCAAGTCCCGTCTTCCTTGGCTGCCTTGCCTCTCTTACCGACTTGTTATTCTTGCCCATAGATCTTTGAGTTTCGTGTAAAATTGGACACAAATTACCGGCGAAATCCAAATTTAAAGTATTTTCATCGGTCAAGCAGCGTATGCCGATCTTCTCGCTCCTCACAGTTTGGTGCATGATCCAATCCACCACAATGAGGAAGATGATCGATGATAGTAGGCGGCAGCCTTGTCTTCCTCCTGTTCTCACCTCAAAACGTCACTGAGCTTTCCATCGTGAATCACTTGGCTGGCATGTAACATCACATAGCATATAGCTGCTGTTGAATGAACCTGACCAAGGTTTGTGGCACTGAAACTGTAGCGTTGAAGCAGTTTCCAAATTACTTCTCAGTCAACGCTGTCGAAGACGTTTTCAAAGTCAATGAAGTTGAGGTAAAGATCCAGTTGACTGCAATTCTGTGCTCTGTTGTATGATGACGCGTACCGTAGTGTTGCAATTCCTTCCGCACATGATTTGTTCTTCCTGAAGCCAACTGGCCTGTCCCGCTCGTAATTTTGAATGCAGAACATTTTCTAGTTTTTCCAGGATGATGTGGCATATTATTTTGCTTGGGGTGGGCAGCAGCATGACTCCATGCCAGTTCTTGCAGAGACTTAGGTCTCTCTACTTAGGGAGTTTGACAAGGTAGACCTTCTTCCAACCTGCAGGTACCTTTCCTTCCTTCTAAATCTTCTGCATTAGTGGTGTTAGGATGCCTGCTGTTGTCTCTGTGCCTGTTTTCTGTGCTTTTGATTAACATAAGACTTCTGAATTATATGATATATTCTTCATTTTATCCAACAACTGTTAAAGTTATCAACAGTGAGGGGTAAAGCATCTTAAAAGCATCATAATAATTTAAAGAAAACTAAGTGACATCGGATAGCAACTGATTAATTATATATGGAGTTAACTTTATTGAAAAACGAATCGTGTAGAAACAGTGTTGATTTCGATACCATTGAGTCAATAATTGCGCATCCCAAAAACTGACTTTAATGACCTATCAATGTGTGTTTATCAGCCGATCTAATTTCCAGCACCCTGATTAGACTATATCAAAGTTATATATTTCTACGCACATTATAGGCCTTTGCAGTTGTTGTCTTTATTATGTGTTAACTGGAACGTCAGATGGACCTGTAACCCTAGACGGAAATAGCATCCGATCTGTGATTAAAACCTGCTACAGTCACAGAAGTACCGACGCCAATAATGTTGCATCATTCGCGACAATATTTGCACCTATTGGCTTCTGTTAGTTGTAAAACATCTTGCCAAAGCATTTGTAATTTGCATATTTTATTATTATTATTTAACCCTTGGGTTCCTAGTGGAACATAGGGCTTCAGTAGCACGCCTCCAGTGACCTCTGTTCTCTGAGATCTTTTGAACCTGGTCCCACGACAGCCCAGAAGCTCTCATTTCCTCCTCACACGACCTCCTCCATGTCACCCTCATCTGGGACGTCCAACTCGTCGCTTCCCATGGGGATTCCACTCGAGCAACTGGCCTGAAGCGTGATGTCCTCAGTCGGCCTTCTCAGTGCATGGCCAATCCATCTCCACTTCTTCCTGCATATTTGTTGCGTGATAGGTTCTTGGTTGGTTCGTTCCCAGAGTTCCTTGTTGCTTATTCTTTCTGGCCATCTGATCTTCAGTAGCGAGCGTAAGCAGTTGTTGACGAATGTCTGTAGTTTATTGGAAATCCCTTTCGTGACGCGCCAAGTCTCTGAACCATACAGGAGCACTGACTTGACGTTGGTGTTGAAAATCCGTATCTTGTTGCACATGCTGAGTGCAGAAGATCTCCACACTGGTTTCAGGCTAATGAACGCCTGTCTTGCTTTTCCAATTCTGACTTTGACGTCCTCGTCCGTCCCGCCTGTAGTTGAAACAGTGCTTCCTAGATAAGTGATCGAGGTTACTTCCTTTAAGTTTCTCCCGTTGACGGTGATTGGAGTTTGTTGTTGTTGTTGTTGATGGTGGTGGTGCGGTATCTTCATCACTTCTGTCTTCTCTATGTTCACCTGAAGTCCCGTCTTAGCTGCCTCTTCTATCAACTTGTTAGTTTTTGCCTGCAGATCTTCAAGTTTATGTGACATTAGGCACAAGTCATCGGCGAAATCCAAGTCTTCTAGGTTCTTTTCCGCCGTCCAGCGTATCCTGTAATTTGCATATAGTAGAAATTATCGGCAAAAAGCTATAATATTCTAACTTCAGAAATCTTAAATTTCTACACAATATTACTGATTTCTGTATCTAAGAGAAACACTGAATAGAAATTCTGCTAATTCAGAATAAAGCAAATTAACTCAGAGTCTACAGCAAACAGATTTGCTTAATATAGTTTCAATAGATCAGTCTGTTTAGATGCTATGAATACTTATCTGGTAAGGTTGAATGTTTAAACTGATGCACTGTGGTGTTATTTCATGCATTGATTTGTGCTATAATGCAGTTCATTTTGAAATTTGTGCTCTACGATAATACCTAAAGAAGTTATAAACTGACTGCTTTTTATTTAGAAGAGTACACACTGAAACCATATAGCTAACCTGTTGTATCACAAAAATGATATACCTTATACCACTCCTACCTGAATGAAAAGATCGTTGTGGGATGAGAGTTGTTACTAGATGAATGATGAATACGAGATCCGACTAATCTTAGCAGGATAATAAAGGTCGGACACTTGATACTGTCCCAGCTAAGGGGATACCGGTAAATACCTGAGACTTTAGGATCATTTTGGTTAGTAGGAGTACATAACCTACTGTGTACACCGTTTTCATGCATATGCACTTAATTCGAAGCCATCTGTAAAATCGGTGACGTTTATTCGACCTTGGAAATTGATAAGACATTGAAAACCAAATCAGCTAACTATCTTCCGATTGTAAGTTACATGACTTGTGCATTAGGTGACGGGGTAACAATTTTAAGTAGTCTGTCGGCCACCCTGAACCCTTTTCCAACCTAATTCAACTTCCAAAAGCATGAAGTACTGAGGTAGGCAGTGACTTGGAGTGATAAGCACATGTCCTAGCCACCTCAGTAGATGAAGTTTCTCAACTCAAACAACTAACTTGTCAATCTTACCCACACAGTGATCCTAGTAGACCTGAACAATGCTGCGAAGATGCATGTGATCAAAAAGCTGAAATAGCTTCACAGCTTCTACTTTCCAACAGCCACATCCCACAGTGGTATAACAGGATGGAAGAAACTGAAGCCCAATACAATCAGTCTTTGACAGATAGTCGGATATCTTGTTAGTCGGCGCCACAGGCGATGCAGGTTGGCAAATGTCAAATGAGCCATCTGTTTTTGAGATAAAACTTCATCAGAAAGTAGCCTCTTCGGGTTGACGCAACTCCTCAAATAAGTGAAATAGTCACCACATTCCACGACTTCATGCCCTTTCATTAAACTAGGATTGGTTGCACATGAGTCCTTTAGCATCATCTTACATTTGACAGGTCCCAGTGAAACGTATACCAAACATCCCCAGATTTCTGTTCAGTGCGTTCACAACATCCTGCATTTTATCAGCGTCTTCACGATATCGTCTGCATAATCCAAGGTAACCATGTGACCTCCAGGAAGTATAGAGACATGAAGTATCAGCCCACCATATATTATCATATTAGCATTTGAAATATCTTTCTTGTAGCATTCAAACTCCACATCACATCAAGCAGTAAGACTCACTATCTGAATTTCTAACATCAGAAGCTAAACAATTTAATTATTATCATTCTAAAATAACCAGATAGGATAAATTTAACATTTTGATATTATTGATGAATAGTAGCTAGCATTGAAATGCATTTCGTTCCATTTGACAGTCCTCAGCCGTATGTGGTTTTCTTCTTTGAGTCTTAGTTAGAACAATATTAATCCTAGATAACACCTCCTGAATAGGAAAAAACGGATATCTTGGATTCCATTGCTAGCCGCATCTCTTCATAAGCGCTAAACCAAAAACACTGACAATATTCAGGCATCTTTACTGGAACACACATGTCAATAGTGGTCGATCAGTTTAGGAGAATCAGTGATGGTAAACTTACAAGTCATAGAGTTAAAATCTAGGACTGTTAAATTAAACTTTGCTTGATCAATGTCTTCAATTCAAAGAAACTTATGTTATGCGTAAATTTTGAAATAATAGCATCTTAGAAGAAAGTTGAAGGTATGTTTTCAATAGGAACCCATTTTGGCGGTCATTTTGTTAGAATGTAGTTTTATGATATGTTTTAAGTGAAACAGAATATTACATCACAATTTAAAACCAACAGCAACATTATTACTCAATAACTGCCTACTGACAACCTATTATTGTTATTATTTGTCCTTTGGGTTCCTAGTGGAACAGACGGATTCAGTAGCACGCCTCCATTTCATTCTCTTCTCTGCAGTCTTTTGAACCTTGCTCAACAACTGCCCACAGCCTTTCATTTCTTCCTCACACCATCTCCTCCATGTCATGCTTGGTGCGGACGCCCAGGTCGTCGTTTCCCCTTTGGATTTCACTCGAGCGACTGGTCTGATGCATGATGTCTTCAGTCGGCCTACTCAGTGTATGCCCAATCCATCTTCACTCTCTTCTTCTACATATTTGTTGGATAATAGGTTATTGGTTGGTTCGTTCTCACAGTTCCTTGTTCCTTATTCTTATTATTCTGACCATCTGATCTCCATCTTCAGTATCGAGTGAGCGTAGATGTCAGTTGTTGATGAATGTCTGTAGTTTGTTGGAAGTGCTTTTCGTGACACGCTAAGTTTCCGAACCACATAGCATCAGTGAGTTGACTGGATAGGTGTTGAAAATCCGGATCTTGTTCTTCGTGCTGAGCGTAGTGCAGTACATCTCCTTACTGATTATTTCAGATTAGTGAAAGCCTGTCTTGTATTTCGGATCCTGGCTATTTTGACATCGTCGTGTGTGCCTGTGTCGACTGTAGTTAAGACGATGCAACCTGCCTAGGTAGGTGTAGGTGAAAGAGACTACTTCCTTTAGATTCCTCATGTTGACGGTGATCGGAGCTTGTTATTGTTGGTTGAGTGTCTTCATCACTCATATTTTCTCTACGTTCACTTCAAGGAGGTCTCATCTTCCTTGGCTGCCCTGCCTGTTCTGCCAACTTGTTAGTTTTTACCTGTGGATCTCTGATTTTGTTTGACAAGACATTAGACGGAAATCATCATGGGTGGTGAAATCCAAATGTTATTCCAGGGTCTTTTCATCGGTTGAGCAGCGTATGCCCCTCTTTTTGCTGCATGGTCCAGTTGACCACAGTCAGAAAGATCATGAGTGATAGTAGGCGACCTTGTCTTACTCCTGTCCTGGGGGAGAGAGTTGACTGCCATTCTATACTCTGTTCTGTGATGATGCGTAGCGTTGCGACTTGATCCGCATATGATTTGTCTTTCCTGAAGCCAACCAGCCTGTTCTGGTCCTAATTTAGAATCCAGTGCATCTTTTAGTCTCTCCGGAATGATGCGGCTCAATATTTTGCTTGGGATGGTTAGCAGCATGATTCCTTGCCAGTTCTTGCAAAGTCTTAGGTCTCCCTTCTTCGAGAGTTTGATTAGGTAGCCCTTCTTCCAATCTGTAAGTACCTTTCTTTGCTTCCAAACCTTCTGCAGTAGTGCTGTTGTCTCTGTATCTGTTTTCAGTGCTTCTGGAGGGAATCCATCTGGTCCTGCTGCTTTCCCGGATTTCAGCAGTTTTATGGCATTCAGGACTTCTGCTTTTGTCGGAGGGCATGTGTTCACTGGTAGTTCTGCCTTTGCTGGTGGTATTTCTGGACGAGTTGCTGGTGGTGGTCGATTCAAGAGCACTCTAACAGATAAAAAGTGATAATAATTATTCAGAGACAAGAAATGAGGGAAATCTGATTTTATGGTATACTGCGTAAAAGGAGTCAACAATGGCAATTTTCAAAATTTATAGAAAATTACCTATTTCTATGGAAAAATTTACAAAAGTTTCCTAATCAAACTTCCAATCGACTAGAATTCATTTGAGGTGAAAACTGTTAAAATCGAAAACTCTCAGTGAAATTCAAACAGATGATCATGTCAATGAATAATGTATAAGTCGAGATTGAAAGACTCGGTCAAATAGGCAACAAGTCTGAAGATATCTCTAATAACCTGTTTTTAGTGGTTGTTTGCTGCGCTTTAACTTCCGTTATTACGTGGCATTGATCACTATTACATATCAAGCAGTCTACTAATACATACAGACTGTTTAGTCGACAATTACCTTTGTATAGCCGTGTTTTAAGCTGCTAAGACTTCAGTTGTCTACATTTTGACCTATAGATACAACTGAAACGTCTGTAAAGCTTATTTCATATGCCGACTGTTTGAACTATGAACCCCAGTCACCTATATTTAACATGTGAGGAAAACAGTTGACAGAATTAAACACTGTAGCCAATACATGTATTACCACAATGGTGTAAGATACTTTTATACCAACATACATTCCAAATTTAGCAGGCCTAAGATAATGATATTGCTTTAAAGAGATGACTGAAAACCACTTTTATCTACTCAAGCGTACAACAATTTGTATGATCACTTGTACAATTCTAAAATGCAGTTCTTAGGCTAGTATCCTTGCGTGTAAGATATTAAGTACTATAGTCCACTACTTCTAAAATAGAATATGAATAATAAACTTTATACTAATACGAAAGTTAATTGTTGCCAAAATTTACCTGACCGATAGGTGTTACCTTGACTTGGTGGTCATGCTTGCATATTACAATCACCTGACGAGTTATGCTGGTAGAACGCTTGTTACCTTGAGGTCCTACCATGCTAGAACGATCCATTGAATAGTGTTGGGATGAAAAGCAGTTATCATTTTAGTGTAAATTACAGCACCAAGATGGTGGGTCTAAGGGCATAGCCATAGTACTGCTAGCTGGATGGGTTATGATAGCAGTAAGGTGTTTCCCTTGGATCAATACTGGTGACGCCCTGATGCTATATCTTCACAACATGATGTGGGGGTTTAGAAGCTATCGGCTCCAAAAATAAAACATTTCCCCTGCCACACAATCTTCCCTTGCCATCAATATAGGTTTCTCTTATTCGGCGTCAAAGCAACATCCCGTGTATGACAGGCTTGAATCATATGTCCCATGTGCTCTTTGTTTACACAAATCTTGCCCCTTATGAAGAAACAGCATTCCACATATCTCCATTAGTAAACAAGATTCAGTCAAACATTAAGTATCTTCTGCAACTCTGTCGCTCAGTCAGAGTCTAGTTTAAACATGTCTGACTAAAATCTAGTGTAACCAGTAAAATTTTTAGTTGGACTCATAATTTAAATATGGATTGAACATACATTGAGAAAAACTATTCGGGACATCACACGCCAGGCTAAATGGGAAGAGATGAATGGAGTGTTTGAGGGTGACATGGGGGAGATGGTGTGTGGAAGAAATGAAAGCTTATGGACAGTGGTGGAGCCAGATTGAAAAGAAGAGAGTGAAATGGTGACGTGCTACTGAAGTCGTATGTTTCACTAGGAACCCAAAAGAGAAATAATAATCATCAACCAAATAGTTAGGTGTATTCAAAATAGCAAAAAGGATAAATATTTGAACTATAAAGGTTTCAGTGTTATTGCTTATTGATCGGACCAAAATGATCAGTGTCTGTTGGCATATGGGCTCCTGTGCGGATGCGTCGATATCGCGTGTGTTTTAATTATGTATAATAATGATAGATAGTAGCTAGCAGTGGAATCAAGGATGCGGATTTCATCGTGAGACTGATCAATTCGGTCAAATCAACGACGGTAAAATACATTGCATAAGAAGTGGCTCGGTGGTGTAGTGGATAATACGCTGATATTTGAAGCGATCGCTCCTGAGTTCATCAGTCACTGGAAGCCGGCAGGTATATCTAGCTGACGAGTCTTAAATAGGAGAAAATGCTCTTCCTGGATTCCATTACTATATTTAAAGGTTTCATATTTTTTTAAATTTTATTTATTATATATGATTGTAACCTCGCCTGGTTAACTAGTTTACTAGTTACTAGCCGGTCCTAACCCCGGGTAAAGAGGGAAGGTTGGGCATAGGGCTAGCAACCCTACCCCGGAAAACAAATCTAACCGCTAAAGAAACTTCAAAGCACAAACAAAATATAAAAAATGAAAACAAACTTATTCCTTGCTGGAATCGGAGAGCCGAAATGACGCCAGTTGGTGAAAGCCTTCGGGAAGCCAATTGGTCGATGTATCTTCTCTCTCCCGATGAAAACGATAGTGAACTTGGGGACATGGAATGTCCGCACGATGTTTGAACCCAACAAGGCAGCCCAGATTGCCAAAGAGATGAGAAGATATCGCAATGAAGTGTTAGGAATTTGCGAAAGCAGATGGAATGGGAGTGGACTCTCCAAACTGTCAACTGGAGAATCAATAATCTACTCCGATACTGTCACCTAGACGCCAACCACGAGCACACTGAGTTATGGAGTGGCCATCATGATGTCCTCAAGAGCATCGAAGGCTCTCATGCAGTGGGAACCAATCTTCTCCAGGATCATGGAAGAAGTGGAGATGGATTGGCCATGCACTGAGAAGGCCGATTGAGGACATCACGCTTCAGGCCCTCGAGTGGAATCCCCATGGGAAGCGACGAGTTGGACGTCCCAGATGAGGGTGACATGGAGGAGGTCGTGTGAGGAGGAAATGAGAGCTTCTGGGCTGTCGTGGGACCAGGTTCAAAAGATCTCAGAGAACAGAGGTCACTGGAGGCGTGCTACTGAAGCCCTATGTTCCACTAGGAACCCAAGGGACTAATAATAAATAATAATAATATATGATTGTATACTTTAATAAATTTCGTTTACTCCTTTAGAACTAAAGATCTACCAAATTTTAATATGGAGAAATTTTTACAATTAGTTAACAATTCCAATGATCAAACATTTCAACAATTAGCTATAATTATATCAAATATTCAACAGATTTATCAAAGTATATTTAATGATTTCAATAATGATAGTAATCAAATAAATAATGAAATAATTAATTTTAATTCAATAATTATTACTACTAAACAAATTCGTTGGTTATCTAATTTATCCAAATTGATTTGTGGTACAAAAACACAGAACGTAAATGATATTGAAAAAATTTTAGAAATTTTAAAGGGCGTTAATTTTTCTAATATACTAGATATGAATGAAAAATTGAAGCGTATACGTCGTACACTACCTAATTTTCAATTAAGTAGTAAATATAAATCAATTAAAAATATTTATACAATAAATTGTTCTGCAATAGATAATATATTACGTAATCCAATATTTTTACAGTATACTGGACGTATAAGATATTTATTATATGGTCATATATTTTATCATCCTGTAAATGAATGGACAAATGAAATTATATATAGAACACTTGAACCACAACGTTTATTAATTTCATTGAAAAATTTACTACAACATTATCAAATACATACTGGACCAATATTATATCAATTAATGACAAATACTTCAATTATATATCAATTTAGAAAAATACTTAATTACTGTAGTAAACTTAATAACAGTTTAATACCTGAAAATATTAAAATATTATGCTTAAAAACTCGATCATGGTTAAATCCTAAAATAATAATGAATCGATATGATGAATATCATAATAAAAATAATTTACATTGGTCAATATTATTTAATCAAATTAATATTTTATTTGATATTATTATTCAATTATTAAATTGTTTTCCATTAAATTCTCATATTTATGGTGTTATTAATCGATTAGATTTTGATAAATATATAGAAACATTTCAATCATATATTCATCCAATAGTTTATGGTATTCTATTTAATGATACTCAATCTCAAGTATCTTCATCATCATCATCATCATCATCATTGAATACATTCAATTTAATGTCAAATACTTCAATTATTATTACAATACGTCAAAGTTCATTGATTATAGATGAAACAAATGATTATAAAGTATATGATTATATATGGTTACCAAAACCTCGTAATAATATTGTTTATGGTGATATAAAATATTTTACTAGCGGTTTTATAGATATACAAGATTTATTAAGTAATTCAATTATTAATATATTAAATAATCAATCATTCAATAATTTATTAATTGGTAAACAAATGAAATTTTTTCCAAATAATTATTATATAAATGATAAATTTATAAATAATCTATCAAAAATTTTACCACAATTAATTTTACTTACATTTATATTAACATCAATGTTGACAACAAAATTTATTGTTGAAGAGAAAGAGAATTATATTAAAGAATTTACTAAAATTATTGGATTATCTAATTATATTCATTGGTTAGGCTGGTTTTCAATAACATTTTCAATTACTCTACCAATAACAATTATTATTATAATAATTTTAAAATATGGACAAATAATTATTTTAAGTAATATTTTTATTATATTTTTATTATTTATTTCATATATTATTTCAATAATTATATTCTCTTTTTTATGTTCTGTTTTTTTTCAACAAGCTAATTTAAGTGCTATTGTTACAGGTCTATTTTATTTTATTATCTATTTACCAATACCATTAATATTAACTAATGAAAAAGTAATTAATCAATCAATTATTTATATTTTATCTTTATCTAATCAAGTTGCTTTTTGTTTAGGCTTTTATTCATTAATACGTTTAGAATTACAAGGATTTGGTATACAATGGTATAATTTATGGGAATCAAAAATAAATGATACATTATATTCACCTGGTAAAAGTTTACTTATGCTATGGATAGATTCATTTATTTATTTATTTATTACATTAAGTATAGAATTTATTAAAACAAATCAATATGATTATCAAGTATATAATTGGTTTTGTAAACTGTTTACAATATTGAAAAAAAAGTTGAACAAATATCAATAGATTTGAATCAATGTACAACTGAAGATTATTCAATGTCTAATTTATGCATTGAATCAAATACTGAATGTTTACCAGTTGGAATATATATAAACAATTTGAGTAAAGTATATACTAGAAAGGATAAACCAGTATTAAATAAATTGAACATTGAATTTTATACAAATCATATCACATCATTATTAGGTCATAATGGAGCTGGTAAATCAACTTTAATTTCAATTTTAACTGGATTACATAAACCTTCTAATGGTTCTGTATTTATCTGTGGATATAATGTTCAAAATCAAATGGATAAAATACGTAATAATTTAGGCTTTTGTCCACAACATAATATACTGTATGAATATTTAACTATTATTGAACACATTGAATTCTATGCATATTTAAAAGGTTTAAATAAACAACAAATTAAACAAGAAATTGAATATTTTACAAAATTATTAAATTTTAAAAATAAACTTAATGATCAAGTGAAAAATTTATCTGGTGGTGAAAAACGTAAATTATCTATTGCTATAGCATTTATTGGTGGTGCTTCTGTTATCCTCTTAGATGAACCAACAACTGGTGTTGATCCTTATTCAAGACGATCAATATGGGATTTAATATTAAAAGCAAAAGTTAATAAAACTATCATTTTAACAACACATCATATGGATGAAGCTGATATACTTGGTGATCGAATTGCTATTATTTCACATGGAAAATTAAAATGTTATGGTTCTAGTTTATACTTAAAATCAAATTATGGTCAAGGATATTATTTAATTTTAGAGTATAAAAAAAAATTTTTATCAAATAATAATTCTACAGAAAATTTTTCTACTGATACTGTAATAGAACAAGAAAATTTTCAAGATATTACAAACTACTTAAAAGGCTTTATCAGTAGTATAAAGTTGATTAATGTTAATCAAAATGAATTAATCTTTCAAATACCTTTAAAAAATACTTATGATGGTTCATTAAGTCGAATGTTAAAACATTTTGAAGATCAGGAAACACTGAATGAAGAGATGATTATATTACCCACTGAATTGTATAAATATGGTATTATTAATTATGGATTAACAGATACTTCATTAGAAGAAATATTTCTTACAATAGCTGATGATGATTCAACAAGATCATTTATTCAATCAAATGATAATGAAACACAAATCAATTCAAATCATAATAAATGTGAAGTCAATGAAAATATCAATTATTCTATAGAAATAAATCAACCAATCAAATGTAATTATGTTAAACAATATGAATCACAAATGAATATTTTACGGCATAGTTATCGTTTATCACAATGTAATGATAATGGTCAATTACCAATTTCATCAACATCATTTAGTATGCTAAATCGTAAACATTATTATCAAACAATTAATAGATTAGAGGAGAATACAATTGTAACTAATAAAAATAATATACAATTAAATTATCAAATAAAAATTATACAACAAATTAAAGCAATGTTTATAAAACGCTATCATTATAATAAACGTTCAATATTCAATTTATTTATTGAATTTATTTTACCTATTTTTGTTTTAATTTTAGGTTTAATATGTTTACAAGTTATAAAAAAGACAACAATATATCAACCATTAATTTTAACTCCAAGAGTTATGTTGAATGAAAAAAATAATATTTCATTAATTACATTTTATGAAAATAATTTATATGAATTAAAAAATCCTATTAAAAATTTAATGAATAAAAGTGATATTTATCAATCAATATTACATATAGCATGGAATTATGAAGAAGCTTTAAAGAAACCATATAGTTGGACAGGTATTAATTGTTTACCTTTAATTAGTTTAAAATATATTGAAAAAAATTTTAAATTATTCGGTTATTGTAATAATTCAAGTATTAAAATAATTAAAAAAGATTTAACATTCAATGAAATACAAGATATACATATGGAACAATTAATAAAATGTTCTAAAAAATCAATATATTCATTAAATAAACAACCTAGTTCAATGATTCTACCAAATGGAGATATTTTATTCAATTTAACATCATTCAATGTATCCAATTATTTATTAGTTACTCAAAATGATTATATAAGACGTAGATATGGTGGTTTAAGTTATCATATGGGAGTTTATCCAATATTTCGTTCATCTTTAACTTCTTTACTAAATGAAAATAATTATATAATATCATTTTTAACAAATTTAACTAGTAAACGAGATTTAAATAATAATAATATTATTATAAAACCGGATCATTTTTGGTCAGATCTAATAAAATTTATACGTGTTTCCCTTCCACCTATATCATATTTACGTATATGGTTTAATAATAAAGGTTATATTTCAGCACCAGCATATTTAAATACATTACATAATTTACAATTACGTATGTTAACTAATAATGGTCTAGGTTTAAATGAACGTAATTATTCAAATGGTATAATATTTATTAATTATCCATTAAATAAACCAATAGATAATAATAATAATAATAATATGAATAAAAATATTCATAAAGAAATAATTTTTGATATAACTTTATCAATTATTACATTATTATGTTTATCATTTATACCAGCAAGTTGTATAACTTTTATTGTAAAAGAAAATTGTTTTGGTTTAAAGCATTTACAATATATTTCTGGTTTAAATTCATATATTTATTGGTTATGTGTATATTTATGGGATATAATAAATTATATAATATGTGCTATTTTATGTATACTTGTATTTATAGGCTTTCAAAAAACTCCTTATATTCATATAGATGTTATTATTCCATTTATATTATTAATTATATTATATGGTTTAGCTGTTATACCATTATTATATATAATTTCATATTTTATTCAATCATCAAGTACATCATTAGTATTTTTATCAATTTTTAATTTATTAATTGGTTCTATCACTCTTATGTGTACAATAATTTTAGATGATTTTGCAGAGAATAATTTAATTATAAAATATATTAATAATATATTAAAAATTATTTTTATTCTATTTCCACAATATTGTTTATCTCGAGGATTATTTAATTTAGCTAAACGTTATTATCTAATTGAATTTATGAATGAATTATCAAAGAGTAGTATAGAAACATCTAAATTATCTATAAAATTTATTACAAATCCATATGATTGGAATATACTTGGAAGTAAAATATGTTCATTATTTATTGAAACAATTATTTATTTTTTAATTGTATTATTACATGAAAAAAATTATTTTATTCAATCAATAAAAAATTATTTTTATATAAATTATCCAAAATTATTAGAAAAACATAATATGAAATTTATACAAAAACTTATAAAATGGAATAAAACAATTTGTAATGATAATAATAATAATAATGATAATGATTCAGAGGATGAAGATGTACGCAATGAACGACGTCGTATTGAAATGGTAAGTGATATGATTTTCAAAAAAAAAATGTAATTAATCACTTTATAATAAATTTGATTAATAGTAGCATATTTAACAGTGATATAGAAAGCCAATCAGCCTGTTTCGGTTGTAATTTTGAATCTAGGATGATGCGGTTTAATGTTTTGCTTGGGGTAGACACAGACAGAAGCATGATTCCACGCCAGTTCTTACAAAGAATTTGATTTCCCTTCCTTTGGGAATTTGATAAAGTAACCCTTCTTTTAATCACTAGGTACCTTGTCTTCCTTTCCTTTCAAACGTTCTGCAATAATGATGTGAACAGATCCGCTGTTGTACCTTCATCCGTTCTCAGTGCTTTTGGACGGATTCCATCTGGTTCTGCTGCTTTCTCAGCTTTCAGCAATTTAATGAAGTCTAGGACTTCTATAGTCAAGTGCAAGGATAAACAATGAAAAGAGGAACTGAAAACAACCTACAAAACACTACACGCAAAGGCAAAAGAAACTTCTGTGACACATTGGTAAGTGTAGGAGAACAGACTGGAGGTAGGAGAGACCTGACAGCACTATATCAACTTCGACGAAACCAATGGGAACTTAGTTAGCAAAGAGAAGAAAGAAAGAAAACTATGCGCTGAGGACTTCAAAAAACTTTTGAATCGACCACCATCTGCGATTCGTCCAGAGCTACCACCACCAGCTACTGAAGCCCTATGTTCCACTAGGAACCCAAGGAATAAATAATAATAATAATATACCATTCCTGAATGTTTTAGTCAATAGAACAAATACCGGAAAGCTGGAAACCCAAGTGAACAGCAAGCCAACACACACCCATATACCAAATCCTCAACTCTACAAAAGCAACAGCGCACAAAATTAGTCGTGTTCAGACTCTATTCAAAAGAGCGAGAACGCACTGTAGCACAACAACTTTACGGAGAAACGAAGAAAACTACTTGATATCCATCCTAAAGAAGAACGGCTACCCACCGAACTTTATCACAAGATGCCTATCACCTACATCATCAACTGCAAAGTCATCGACAGAAATCAATAAACGCATAATCCTACCATATATAAAGAATGTATCAGAAATCACAAGATTACTGAGACTACTTGGAATTGATGTGGTCACTCATAAACCAACAAATTCCCTCCAAACACTATTATACAGACCAAAGGATGCAACAAGTAGAGAAGACAGACAAACCGAATATCATTTAGGAAATCATCTGGAATAACTGTAGGCAACACTACATTGGACAAAGTGGTCACCCTCTCCGCCTTCGTCTACATGAGCACCAAGTGGCTGACTATTCAACGTCACACACGAGATTTCGTCACTCATTTCAATGTACGTGGATAACAACTTTGTATATGAATTCAATTTGCTCAATGTAGAAATTTTGTATGGAGAGAGGAAACACAGAGAATGTCAGAGAATTCCTAGAAGCTTGACATTCAGGTCAGTCAGTCAGCAATCAACAGATGTATAGAAGACATACACCCAATCTATCAAGTAATGAAAAATGATCGACGACAGAAAGGTCAGAGGTCAAGCAGAGCAACAACAAACAGGATAGTTCATATAGTCAATGAATGACACAACAATCGAAGGAAACAACCAATGAGGAACCAGTTGGTCAGGGCAAGCTACTAAGTCACTTACTGAGTGATATTGACAGCTCACTTCATATTGAAGTTAGTGATGATGATCTTGTCTCAAAGAAAGACTATGAAAGCTTCACGATTCAACAACACAGCTCAGAGAATACAGCACAAAGAAGTTGCGTTATATAAATTAGCATTTATACTGGATAAAAACTGAAGGTAAAATGAAAATTTGAACCGCATCTAGATTCGAACCAGCGACCACCGAGTTTCCTGCGAATGCTCTGTCAACTGGACCTGGCAGCTCAGTTGATAAGGCATCAGGCCAGGAAATCCGGTGTTCGCTGGTTCAAATCTGCCCATGGACAGAATTTTCATTTCACCATCAAACATCACCCAGTATAAATACCAGTCTGCAAAACTACGTCTATCTCAGAAAGTCAAATGATACGTAATTGTCCATGTCAAATCTCTTCACAACAACGAGAAGTATTATTCATTGACACGTACACATAAGTTTCATCCTTCAAGTAAAGAATGTAAATACATTTATTTACCTTTCATTATTAACCATCTGGTATGAAATATTATTTTTATTTGTCCCACAGGTTCCTAGTGGGACCTGTGAATTCAATAGCACATCACCATTCCACTCTCTTCTCTACAATTATTTGAGCCTAGCTCCACGACTGCACGCAACCTTTCATTTCTTCCTCACATCATCTCCATGCCACTCTCGCCTCAGACAACCAACTCCCCGTTTCCCATTTCGGTTCCATTCGAGTGCCTGGCCTGACGCATGATATCCCCGAACGGTCTTCTCAGTGTATGTCAAACCCATCTCTACTTCCTTCTTCTGCATATTTGTTGCGTAATAGGTGCTTCCTTTGTTGGTTTGTTGCAAGCCAGACAGCCAGAGTTCCTCCTTGCTTATTCTTATTATTCTGGCCATCTGACCTCCATCTCCAGTATCGAGTGAGCGTAGGCGGCAGCTCTTGATGAATGTCTATAGCTTGTTGGAAATGTTTTTCGCAACGTGCCAACTCTCTCAACCATCACACAGAAACACTGACTTACTTCACTGAATTAGTGTTGAAAATCAGGATCTTGTTCACGCTTTATACTGAATGGAGTGGAGTGCAGTAGATCTCCACACTGATTATTTTAGATCAATGAAAGTCTGTCCTGCATTTCCGATCCTGTCTTTGACATCCTCATCTGTGCCTGTGCCACCTGTAGTTGAAACGATGCTGTCCATGTAGGTAGATAGGTGAAAGAGACAACTTCCTTTAGGCTTCTCCTGTTCATGGTGACTGGAGTTTATTGTTGTTGTTGTCGTCGTTGTTGGGTATCTTCATCACCTCCATCTTCTCTAGTTTCACTTGAAGTAAGTTTTGTCTTTGCTACCTTGCTTCTTCTACCGATTTGTTAGTTTTCACCTGTAGATGTTCGAGTTTATGTGACAAAACAGTAGACACAAATCAATGAGCAAAAACGATATCTTCTTCTAAGGACTTTACATCGGTCAATCAGCGTATGCCCATCTTCTCGCTCCTCATAGTTTGTCGCATTATCCAGTCCAATTCAGTCGACTCTTTAACTTTTTCTTCGCTGCAATATAAAAATAACAATTTTTGAAACATTTCCTGTGTTTATTTGGGAGTATAGTTTTGGATAACCGAAAAGGAGGAGCACACTTTTATTGTTTATTCATTGTCAGAACGGAATACAAACTCATTTGACAATGCCAAAAACATCTTATTTTATATTCAGTCGTTTATTTTCGAAGAAATCCAGAAATCCATAGTTGATTGCTTTTTAGCCCTTGTTCCCAAGGCATGCCGACAGACTCCATGAGAGGGAGAGATTTCTATTAAATAGTCTAGACAGAGTTTACTTTGTCTTGGTGTCAACGATTTCAATAACGAGTCGTTCACGTGATGACTGAACTCCTGTAGGGTTGGATAATATACACGAATTATTCGCCACGCTGTGACCTATTTCCGTAAAAACTATATTTTTATTTTGACATTTACTTTGACTACTTATGAGTAACTCAAAGTAATTCCGAAAAATATTAGTCACACTGGAATGCAAAATGTCTTTCATCCCAATTTAATATCTTTCTGAGGTTCTGTTTATATTGAATACATTATTGTTAATATTGGCAACTAGCGGATTTACTGGTTTCTAGAAATAGTACTACCACATATGAGACTTGGATTGAAGTAACGTTTGTATAAACTAGGTGTTGGTCGTCAGTTTGTTCTTTTCGAAGAGACATTTTAAGCTGCTTCACTTCAAGGGACTTACATTATAACATGTAGAATTCAGTATGCACATAACTTCAACTTTATCATTTTTTCTAACCTTGAAAATGCCATCTGAATTTAATTTTAGAAGACAGAAGTAAAATCCCATCCTGCTTAATATGATTTTATTATTTGTCCCTAGGGTTCCTAGTGAAACATACACCTTCAGTAGCACGCCTCCGCTACACTGTCTTCTCTGCAATCTTTTCATCCTGGCTCCATCATTTCCCACAAGCTCTCGATTCTCCCTCACACCATCTCCCCCATATCACCCTCACCTTGGACACCCAACTCCTAGTTTCCCATCTGAGTTGCACTCGAGTGCCTGGCGCGCGATGTTCAATCCATCTCCACTTCCCTCTGCATATTTGTTGTTTGATGTGTTCTTGGATGGTTCGGCCATCTGAGCTTTGAAGTTTCGATAGCGGTTGGATTGGTTTTCCGGGATAGGTTTGCTAGCCATATGCTCAACCTTCCCCCCTTTACCCAGTCTTAAAACCAGCCGGTAACTAGTGAGCTAGTTAACCAGGCGCGGTTCCCATCCTACTACATCTTCCGAATTAGAGAAAACATAATGGAAGTTATTGCAACGTAATCATATTGTAACTAGAAATCATTTTATGATTAGTAAAGTGTCTGCCATCACCCCTGATGTTCCTGATTATGGTGGACTGGATCATGCAAGAAACCGTGAGGAGCGAGAAGAGGAGCATACGCCGGCTGAACCGAAGAAAAGACTCCGGGAGAAGATTTGGATTTCACCGATGATGATTTATGTCTAGTGTCTCGTCACACAAACTTGAAGATCTACAGGTGAAAACTGACAAATTGGCAGAAGGGGCAGGGTAGTCAGGGAAGACGGGACTTCAAATGAATGTAGACAAGACAGAGGTGATGAAGATACCCAACCAACAACAGCATGAGCAACAGCCTACAATCACCATCAACGGGAGAAACCTAAAGGAAGTAGCCTGTTTCGCCTATCTAGGCAAGGCAGCATCATTTCAGCTATAGGCGGTGGCGGCATGGGCGAGAACGTCAAAGCCAACCAAGATCGAAAAAGGAAGATTGGCTTTTGTTAGCCTGAAAC